TAGGTTACACAGAGCCACAACTTTGATTGATCTTTTACCACTATGAGTGAGCAGCAGCACTGATCATTCCTTCATAACAGTGATGAATTACTAGAGCTGCTGATCTCTGTGTATCTATCAGTGGCCCCATTTGCACATACACAGCATGGCTGATGGATAACAGAGTGCTGCAGCATTGTGTGATCTTCCACTATTTGTCAGTGATGTTGGGCCAGTGACATATCTAACACAGCTTGACATCTCTGATCATAAACTGAAAGCCTGCATAGTGCTGTACCATCCATTGGTTCTGAGCTGTGTATGTATATAAAAACAGCCCTGATATACACACAGAGCTGCTGGCTGTATGATCTGTTTTTGAGCGACCCCTGCTGCCTCCACTTTCTTTTTAGTGCCATTGTTGTTTGGGGGGGCTCTTCAAGCATGCTGTTTAGAAACAAGGGGACAGATTCCCTATTGGGTTATAAAAGAAAAGTACAATGATAGATCTTCCTTAAGCCACCAGGCATGTCTGTGGATTGTAGGAGGAAACCAGAGTGCCCAGAGGAAATCGCACAAGAAAGGGTGGACATGTAAACTCCATGCAGGCAAGGAAGGAATGCTAACCACTAAGCCACTCTGCTTCCACATCTGAAATTTAGGCATTTACTGTTTATGACAGCCTTTCTCAAAATTTTTATCCCAGAGGAGCCCTTGAAATAATGTTCAGGTTCCAGGGAACCCCTAATAAAACCAATTCCCAGAGGGTCAGTGTGAAAAATGCCCCTTATGTTGGTTGTCAATCGTAAGAAAGCCTCCCTTATAGTGGGAGTCAGAATGCCCCCTTACAGGTAGCTAAAAAGATCATGCCACTGACTGTGCCAAGTGGTGTTGGTTCCAGGACTACAGTATGCAGGCACCAACAAATAGGAGGTCAATCAGTCACACTCAAGGAACCCCTAACAACCTCTGGAGAGACCCTAGGCTTCCATGGAACCCCAGTTGAAAATGGTTGGTTTATGGGGTTATCCTGTCCCTAAAAACATGCTGCTGAAGAAAACTGAAAAAAACGGATGAAAAAAAAGTGGCCAATCTTACTTTATAACAAGTGATGAATATAGAATGTCACTAAACCATACAATTCTCCAGAAAATTATCAAGTTTGTGCTTGGAAAATTGTAGGCCATAAATAAAAAGCCAATAGTAATTTAAAGCTTTCTGCAACAAGTGGGAATCTTCAGAAAAGATCGCAAACTCTTTGTGAATTGAACTTATCATGTAGCTATTACTAGGCGTAATACTTAGAATTGATTTAAAATCCTTAAAGAACTTAAAGACAATCTATAATCACAACATACATTTTCATTTTATAAAAACAGCTTTGTAATAACAATACAAACAATATTTATATTTGGCCATCCATATAATCTTACTTGAAAAATCTAATTTCACGTTTTGAGCGCTGCTTGTTTGCTGACCATCTCTTTTCGCAACTTCCTGAATTCCCTGCATGCTTGCAGCTCCTCTTTTGCTGTTTACTTTCCATTTCTAAGAACTACATATCCATGGTACCTTGCTGCCTGCAAGCATTAATTCCTGTACTGATCCCCCACTTGAAGCTCCTCCTCTCAGCACCTCTGTAGATCAGAAAGCAGGCTCTGTGAAATGTGTGACACATCAGTACCTGCACCCAGGACATGGTGACTACATGTCACAGAATTCCAGGTCATAACTGTGTGGAGATCTTCACAAAGTAAGTTTACAAACTTAAAGATTGATCAGATTAATAGGAATAGGCTAGAAATAATTGAAACAAAATGTGGAAATGAATATATATTTTTTAATTTTGACTATAGATATGCCTTATCCACCTCAACCCTCCCGGCCCCAAATTTTCACCTTCCTTGTTGACTCCCAATTCGTTTCGATGAAATGTGCAAGAATCTCTGCAAAATTTTAGTGAAGCAAAATATAATAGTTCCACTGTTTCATGTACAGGAATGAAGACAACACAAGCTGCTGGTGTGAGGGAATTATGTTGAACAACAGAACTGCATCCAGGTCAGGCATAGAACAGGAAACAGGAATTATAAGGCAATGCAATATTACCGTATGCAAGTAGAGTCACAGGATTTGCATAATAACTCTATAACACTGATGGTCAGTAATGAAGTCACCTTTTTTAATTAAACTCATCTGTAGCCATGCCTTTTTCCAATGTAAAATAGTTTGTATACGTAAAGCAAAAAAATGCAGCGCTTGAGTGTATAATAAGGAGAATTTACATATGCACAACAGAAATAGAAGGAAATACATTAGAGGTATGACATGCACCAGGTTTGATGTACATAAATTAATGTAAACAGTGGTCGGGTAAGTAATAAAGATTCATCCGACCAATCAAAGTGCATATAGTGATAGGGATGTTAGAGTCATTAGATCTAGGGGTACATCCGAGTGCCAATCAAATCCGTGACTTCTGTGATAGGAGAATAGCTGTAAAATGCACTAACCAGATAGCGCAAGCCAAAGCGCATTGGAGTATAATGACCTACTCCTGTCACAGCCAAATGGTCATCAGCGTAGCCCTTTGATAATGTGCTCTTGCCACGAAACGCGTTAGGGATAAGGATACCTCTCATACCACTTGTTACCTACATGGTCCATGCATCTAACTGTCGGCCATCTTTTTGGATTCTGTGAATCAGCTTCTTTGGATATTACTATGTAAGTGTGCTACCTGTTTTTACCAATCTCTTGAATAAAAATACTACACTATCAAGATTTCTCTCTTTTGGGTCTTATTGCTGAGTCCCTAAGGTGATCTCCTGATATGAAAGCACACCACCCCTGGCGATAGATGATATAAGGCAAATTCGTGTTACTGTAAAGAGGCGTACTCCCCCTGGTGGTAGGAGATGGCAAGAGTGGTGCACAGGTGTTCCTGAGGGCTCTACGCTGATGACCATTTGGCTGTGACCAGGAGTAGGTCATTATACTCCAATGCGCTTTGGCTTGCGCTATCTGGTTAGTGCATTTTACAGCTATTCTCCTATCACAGAAGTCACGGATTTGATTGGCACTCGGATGTACCCCTAGATCTAATGACTCTAACATCCCTATCACTATATGCACTTTGATTGGTCGGATGAATCTTTATTACTTACCCGACCACTGTTTACATTAATTTATGTACGTCAAACCTGGTGCATGTCATACCTCTAATGTACAGTTGCAAGAAAAAGTATGTGAACCCCTTGGGATTACGTGGAGTTTTCCATGAATTGGGCATAAAATGTGCTCTGAACGTCATATAAGTCACAGCAATAGAAGAACACAGTCTGCTGAACATAATACTACACAAACATTAGATGTTGCCATAGTTTAATTGCACATAACATGTAAACATTCACAGTGCAGGGAGGAAAAAGTATGTGAACCTTTGGATTTAATAACTGGTTGACCCTCCTTTGGCAGCAATAACCTCAACCAAACGTTTCCTGTAGTTGCAGATCAGACCTGCACAACGATCTGGAGTAATTTGGACCACTCCTCTTCACAAAAACTGTTTCAGTGTAGCAATATTCTTGGGATGCCTGGAGTGAATCGCTCTCTTAAGGTCATGCCACAGCATTTCAGCATTTCAGTCGGGTTGAGGTCAGGACTCTGACTGGGCCACTCCAGAAGGCGTATTCTGTGCTGTTGCAGCCATTGTATTGTTGAATTACTTGTATGCTTTCGGTCATTGTCCTGTTGCATCACCCATCCTCTGCGGAGCTTCAGTTGGCGGACAGATGGTCATACGTTTTCCTGCAAAATGTCTTGAAAAACTCTGCAATTCATTTTCCCATCAATGACAACAATCCGTTTAGGCCCTGAGGCAGCAAAGCAGCCCCAAACCATGATGCTCCCTCCGCCATGTTTTACAGTGGGGATGAGGTTTTGATGTTGGTGTGCTGTGTCTTTTTTTCTCCACACATAGTGTTGTGTGTTCTTCCCAAACAACTCAATCTTGGTTTCATCTGTCCACAGTATATGTTGCCAGTAGTGCTGTGGAACATCCAGGTGCTCTTTTGCAAACTTCAAACATGCTGCAATATTCTTTTTGGACAGCAATGGCTTCCTCCGTGGTGTCCTCCCATGTGCTCCATTCTTGTTTAATGTTTTCCTTATTGTAGATGTGTCAACAAAAATATTAGCATGTGCCAGAGATTTCTGTAGGTCTTTAGCTGACACTCTGGGATTCTTCTTTACTTCATGCAGCATTCTGCGCTGTGCTCTTGCAGTCATTTTTACAGGACGACCACGCCTAGGGAGAGTAGCAACAGTGCTAAACTTTCTCCATTTGTAGTCAGTCTGTCTTACCGTGGACACATGAACATCAAGGCTTTTGGAGATACTTTTGTAACCCTTTCCAGCTTTATGCAAGTCAACAATTCTTGATCGTAGGTCTTCTGAGAGCTCTTTTCTGCGAGGCATGGTTCACATCAGACAGTGCTTCTTGAAACCAGTAAACCCAACACAGGTGTGTGTTTTTTAAGGGCAGGCCAGCTGTCAGCAACACATCCAATATCATCACACTGATTGGAGTCAAGGTTGGCTCACTCCTGGCTCCAATTAGCTCTGGGAGAAGTCATTAAGCTAGGGCCTCACATACTTTTTTCCTCCCTGCACTGTGAATGTTTACATGTTATGTGCAATTAAACCATGGCAACATCTAATGTTTGTGTAGTATTATGTTCAGCAGACTGTGTTCTTCTATTGTTGTGACTTAGATGACGTTCAGAGCACATTTTATGCCCAATTCATGGAAAACTCCACGTAATCCCAAGGGGTTCACATACTTTTTCTTGCAACTGTATTTCCTTCTATTTCTGTTGTGCATATGTAAATTCTCCTTACTATACACTCAAGCGCTGCATTTTTTTGCTTTATTTTATTTTCTATGAAGAGGTTATACGAGGTTTATCTTTATGCTAGCGGCTTGAATCTTTCAGATCCAGCACTCGTTTTTATCCTATTTACCACCAGTTTGTATACATGTTGTTAATTGAGTTGATGCTATGTGTGTCTCTTGCACAATAATATGTTCCGGATTCTTCAGGTTTCATTCCACTGAGTTTTAAAAACACTTCTCTTTTATTTGTGTCTCTGGACAGAGTCAGTCGTCCTTGAACAGAACTGGCATAATCTTTGTGTTCATTATGACATATTCTTCCCAACCACTCCATCTGTTTCCTTTCAGATTGTCGGTTCCAGTGCACACAGTGCATGTTAGTGCTGTCAGTGAGGGAGGCTCCGGTCACTTTACAGGTCAGTTCTAGAGTCTCTGATGGCTTCATGGTCCCAGGACCAGACTCCACCATTGTGATTTCTGATGTGACACCTGCAAATATAGATTATATTTTGTTATATACTTCATCCTATATTGTAGTTCAAATAAACTTTCAAGTGAGAAAAATAAATGAAAAGTAACACACATTGTACTAAAGACACAATAAAAAGTAACCACAGGAGATGTGTCATGTCTGAAGTTCTGCTGATTCTTCTCAGATAATGTTTCCTGTGGACGGCTTTGTATTTAAATAAAAACTTTGTATGAATACAGTTTGCATACATGGAAATAATTGGGTGAGTTGAACCAAAGAGATAGCTGCTTTGTTTTTAAGCAAATGTTTTTTTCCTGAAGAATATTCAGTATTTAAAGAGACCCTGTTGCTACTCACTATGTTAAAAAAAATTGAAAGAGAACCATCCTATAGTGATTCATTCACACTGGTGCATAGACCCATACCTCCGTGCAGAGGGTCGTGTTTATACACCCAGGGAATGACAGGTGTTACAGGCAATCAGCCTGTAAAAATCAATGACAGCACATGCCAGTGTTTACATCCATACAGGGATGGACACATAGCTTTGGATGTAAATATTCTGCATCCAGAGCTGTGCCTGCATTCCTTTATGAGTGTAAGCACTGACATATGCGTGAAGATCTGTACAGATGCTGTTTCTGTCAGGCGGTAATTGAAGTGGAATTCTATGCACCACCATTATTATTAAAAATGCCCCCCCCCCCCCAAATACCTACCTACCTATTTTCAGGCCACTCCAGTCCAATCATGTGGTTCCCCCTGTGTCAGTGAGTGATGCTACAAGTGAAAGGAGAAACTGTTCAACAATGGTGATGTCACACACAGGCTTCAATGGTCCATCTGTTGTCTCCTCTCCCCTGAACTGGACACTGGCTGACACCGAGGAGCTGGATTATGTGGCTGGAGTGGAGCTGCTTGAAATTAGGTGTACAAATCTTTCTTGCTCAGCTTAGTTAGATTAGGTATTAGGAGGGGAGGGAGCATTTTAAAGATTAGTTGGTGGTGCCTGGAATTCCACTTTAATTTTGACAGCCTAGCTGGATACAGCAGCAACACCTGAGTGTATAAACACTAGCATCTGCATGGAAGTATGGGTCTATACTCCTGCACTTATGAGGCCTATAAAAAAAAAAAATTGTTATGATTCGTTCACATGGGTGACTAGGGGAAGTAAAATCAGGTGCCTGAACCACAGTTTTTCCACCCC